ACGAAAAACCGTGCACTCTGTCACAGTGCCGCTGCCGCCGCCCTCCGGCAGCCTCGGTGTGTGACTGTGTGGCCCAAGCCAATAAGCCGCGCCGGCGTAATTTAGCCAGCCATTTCTCATATTTGCCACAAGTACTAACGGCCGCACATGTGTGTGTGTGTCTGTGCCTTACCGCTTAGCAGACGGCACACTCTGCGCCCTGCTCCTGCTGGAGGAGTCCTGGAACCTGCTCGCCTGCTGCGCGTTTTATGACGGGCCGCGGGAAAGCTCGTCGCCGGGGCCGTGCCGTGCCGTGCCGTGCCGTGCCGTGCCGTGCCGTGCCGTGCCACGCCGTGTGCGCTGCCCGCGGCGGCCACGCCCGAGAAAGCACGTCCAGTCCCCGCGACTCCGCGTCTGTCTCGTCTGCCACAACAAACACCCCGGCGGATCGGATCGGATCGGATCGGATCGGGGCGAAACCGATACGCAACACACGGCGTCACCAAGGGGGGCGTGGCGGTAGCGGCTTGGCGGCGCACAGTGGGCCAGAAAACCGGTGGAGGCGGCTAAAACTCTAGACGCGTTTTGAGCTCCAGAGTCGCTAAATGGGACTCGAACCAAACGTGTGACCTCACCAATGGATTGCTCTCCGAACGAGGAATCCATTGGTGGGGTCACACGTTCGGTTCGAGTCCCATTTAGCGACTCTCGAGCTCAAAACACGTCTAGAGTTTTGGCCGCCTCCACCGGTCTTCTGGCCCACTGTGCACCGCCCGGCGCACGCGTTGCCCGCCACGCGACCGTCGACACGCCATCCCGCGCCAGTCGATGACCGGCCCCGCGCCCCGCACCGCACCGCGCCCCGCGGCCACCAAGGCCGTCGCGCGGACCGACAGCATCGGCGGCCGGTCGACCTGCCCTGTCTCTCTCGCACTCACGGAGACAGCGGCAGCTTGCCGGACCGCCGGTCGGACTGACTCACCGTCGTGAGTCACACGGACAGTCGGCGGCGGTTACGCGCCGACGGTCCGGAGCGGCGGCTGGAGCGGCTGGGCCGAGAGAACGGCCTGCACGGCCTGCACCGGCGCGCCGAGGGCCGAGGACGCCGGGGACGTCCGGGCCGACGAGCCACGCCCCTCCTTGACGCCCTGCACGCCCTGCACGGCCTGCACCGGGAGGCCCGGCCCGGCCGCCCTCCCCCGCGGCACCACGCCGCGGCCGTGAACCGTTACCGATAACCTTGTGTAATTTGGAGGCGGCTCGCTCCGGCCGCTCCAGCCGCCCAGTGCAGGGCAGTGCAGGGCCTGCCCGGCGCCGCCAGTGGGTCCACCACTCACTCGGCCCGGAACGCGGCGGCGGCGGCCTGGCTACGAACAAATTGGCGCAATCTGTCCCTCTCGGATTCGTCGGCCGCCCCGTCAGGGTGCGAGAGAGGCAGCGCGACGACCAGGCCGCGCGGAGCGAGGGCCGCTTAATCATTCGGTTCAAACCGACCGAACGCGTCGACGCGCGCATTCCGAAAGCCCGCCGCCGCGCCGGCCGGCCGGACGACCCAGTCCAGCCTGACTCGGCTCGAGCCGCGTGCACTGTAATTTAGGCCCTGGCCACTCATACGCGGAGCGCGGCGCGCGGCCCCGAAATGTAAGGCTGCGCCCGGCCGCCTCGTGCCAAACTGGAACATAACTGTGCGGGGCCGCGCCGCGCCACACACGCGATGCACTCGCCCTTGCAGCCCGTGTCCCAGCAGACTGCTTCCGAGAGTCGCTTTCGTCGCTCCGTCTCTCTCGCATTCAAGGGACGTCCCGCACAGGTGCGAGAGAGACAGCGACGAAAACGACTCTCGGTGTCGGTCTAACTGCACGAGGAAAGCTCGCGCCGCGCGTGCCCGCCGAGTGGGCTACCGGGCACAGCCAGGCAGAGCCAGGCAGAGCCAGGCACAGGCACGCCACGGAGCACGTACGCGGACCACTTTTTTATGTTCGCCTCATCACGGGACGGGAGGAGCGGGTTTACCTGTACAAACAGAGTAGTAGGTTTTTCATGTGCGGAGTTGCCGTTTCACTTTCGGTGGATACGACGTACTCTGATTGCTTCGCGGGCCGACCTTTTTTCCCCGTAGTGTGTGTGTCTGTGTGTGTGTCCCGAAAACACAAACGCCCTGCACGCGGTGCCGCCGCCCTGACCCCGCCCCGCGACAGGCACGCGCTGACCTTGAGCAAGGTCGGGGTAATCTTGATGGGCGTAGGTGCGGGCCACAGGCCGCCACAGGCTGCCGCAGGCTGCCACAGGCAGAGAGTCTGTCTCTCTCGCACTCATGGGCACCCCGCGTAAGTGCGAGAGCGACAGAGCGCCGAAAAACGCCTCTCCGAATGCAGGAAGGCGGTCCGGTCCGGTCGCGCCCATTGGTCGCGCCCACGCACGGCGGTCCTGGACGGGCCTGATAAAGAAGGTGGACGCGAGACACGCGCAACGAGAACGCCTCGGCGGCCCCCAAGACAAAAGGCGTCGCGATACATCAAAAACACATCGAGCGGCCGGCCGCCGAAATGTCAGAGAGCGACCTCCCGGCCGGCTGCAGAGTGGTTCCGAGAGTCGCTTTCGTCGCTCTGTCTCTCTCGCGCCTGTGGCCGCTCCCTACAGGCGAAGTCTGCTGGAGGACGGCGTCGAGCGACGTGAAACGTGCACCGCATTTACCTTCGCCGCCGGCGCCAGGCAGCCATAAAAGAATAATGCAATCGTTTAAAATGTAAAATTACAAAGGCGGAAGAAGGGGAGAAAAGTCGTGTTTGCGTCCGTGTTGCCACCCACCCCGCCGACCGCAGCGAGCCGCCTGCCTCTGCCTGGCTGGCGCCTTGCCGCGCCTCGCCTCTCCGCCGCGTGGGTCGTGCAGCGAAAAGGCAAGACGACCGCAAAAGCGCAAAAGCTTTAGTGGCGGCTCGGCGCCGTGGCGGCGTAGAGGCGGCTGCAGTCACTTTAGTTGTGCTGCTCTCCGGGAATGAGAGGCCGTGCCGTGGCGGGGCGGGGCGGGGCACGGTGGGGCGGGGCGGGGTGGGGCGGGGCGGGGCCGGGCGGGGCGGTGTGTGACCATGCGCCAGCCGTTCCGTTTTACCTTCGCGGGCCAAGGCAGTTGAGGCAGCTAGCCGAGGCAGCGGGCCACCGCGTCGGCATGCTCTCTCTCTCTCTCTCTCTCTCTCTCCCTCTCTCTCTCTCTCTCTCTCTCTCTCCCTCCCTTCCGAGAGAGACAAAAGGCCGAGTGGCACAAAATTGCGGCGGACAGCCATTTTTTGCGAGAAATGAGATTTACTGCTGGGCCCAGGGGCTAATCAGACACTTTGCATGCAGTGGGGGTGGAGGGGGGTCGCGGCGTCGTCCGCGCTCCGCGACGGTCGCCGGCAACGCCACGGCCCGCAGCACACTGCAAGCCAACGGCAAGCAGTCCCGGGTCGGCGTGTAGTACTTCGTACTTCAGTGCGCCAGGTATAGGCACTCGTGAATAAGCCAGGCGGGTCGGGCCGCCAGGCCACGCCAGGCGGTGACCCCGTTCCGGCCATCCCGGCCATCTCGCCCCCGGGGAAGACGTCGTCGGGGGACTGCGCAGCGACGCGCCTCACATGAGCCACGGGATGTAGTACAGGATGTGCTCGCCGCTGAGGTCCACCAGGACGCCGGCGCAGTAGGCGACCACCACGGCGACGGCCAGCAGGTAGCCGGCGTAGAGCGCGGCGCGGAGCAGGGCCACCTCGGGGGGCAGCAGAAGCACCAGCGGCGGACCCGCGCCCGGCAACGCGACGCGCAGCATGGCGACGTAGGGCAGGGCAGGGCGGGGCAGGGCACGCCCGCGAGGCTTTCGCATGGAAATGAGCAACAATGGCACCCCCAGGCAATTCTCGTCAGTCAGGGGCAGCACAGTGCTGCCGCTGCCAGTGGCCGAAAATGAGAGGGAAAGACTCATCGGCTGCTGTCATTCTAGCCACCCTTTGAAAGCTGCCCTCCAGTCCGCTCTTTGAAATCCCGCCTGTCCGCCGCTGAAAGACCTCCTAGCCGGCCCGTTGCAAGCCCCCCTGGCCGCCCCCGTCGCGGCCCCCGTCCGTTTACGACCGCCAGGCGCCGCCGCGTCCCCCGGCCTTACGTTAACCCTCCGCGTCGCAACGCACTAAACCGCCGCGAGATGGCGCTGCGCGCGCTGCTCCGGCCCGGCCCCGCGTCGCGGCGTCCCGAGGGGCCACCGCTGGGCCAACGGCGGGAAACGACCAGGCCATTCCGGCGCCTAACGGCCTAATGGGACGGCATGGCCGTGGCATGGCCGTGGCATGGCCGCCCTAAGCGACCTGCCACTTGTATGCGCTCCCGGTGATCGGGACCGTCGGGCCGCTGGGCCGCTGGGCCGCACAGTGGGGCAGAAGACCGGTGGAGGCGGCCAAAACTCGAGACCGAGCTCCAGAGTCGGGAAGCAGGACTCGGACCAAACGTGCGAACGCACCAATGGGTTTCCTCGTTCGGAGAGCAATCCCTTGGTGGGGTCAAACGTTCAGTTCGAGTTCCATTTAGCGACTCGGAACGCTCGAAACGCGCCTAGAATTATGGCCGGCTCTGCCATGCCGGTCTTCTGGCCCACTGTAGCCTCTAGCCGCCAGCGCCCTCTATCTATTGGCGGCGGTACACACGGTGTAAAACCTGTACAAACCGCCTTTCTGTTGGCGGTAAAATCCGCCAATGACGCAGCCTTCAGACCGTGCGAAACAGGCGGTAAAACGGTGACACTATTAGAACCGCCAATTAAGCCACCATTGAGAAGGTGTGAAAAAGGAGACTTAAAAATACCGCCAGTTACGTTCCCTCTGTACGGCACGAAAAAGGCTGTAATGCTCCCTTAAGGCGGTGCTCCGAGGGCGGTAACCAGCACCGCCTTTCTACAGGCGGTAAAACCTGGACAGCGCCACTACACAATCACCGCCAGTAAAGGGTGGGAAAATCACCGCCTTCAGATCAAGAGCGTGGCCGTCGCGCGCCGAAGCACTCACCGGTTGTCGACCAGGTCCTGGCTGTCCACCGTGTCCTCCAGCACGGGCCCCGCGCTGACGTCCACGCCCATGGAGCCGATGTCGAGGTTCTTGTAGTTCCTGCGCGCCGACCGGTCGGACTCATCGTTGGGCGCGCCGCCCTGGGTGGTGCCGCCCTGGGTGGTGGTGCCCTGGCTGGCCTGCTGCTGGGCTCGCTGGCTCAGCTCGGCGTACAGGTGCTCGTAGTACAGCAGGTCCTCCTCCGTGTTGGAGTTGAGCTGGTCCTCGTGCAGCAGGTGGTAGTTGGGGTTCTCGTAACTCAGCAGGCCGTTCTCTGCGAACACAAAACAGCCTTTTATGGCGACAGTCCACCGGCAAAGTTTTCGGAAACGAGGGGCGCAACGAAAACGGCGACAACATGCGCCGCATCACTGGAAAGCAGTGCACCACGCTTTCCCGAACTTTTCCGTCGTCGACGCGTTCCGCCGCTTTCGCATACTTTGCGCCGCGACTCGGCAGCCCGGAGCGAAACAGCCCAAACTGCCGCGCGCCGCGAAACACGCCGCTACAAAATATGATCTCTCGGCGCGGAAAAGGGGAAACAAAAATGCAGGCCGGAGGAGCGAAGCGGCGCGGCAACCGCCGGAATTATATTTCCGCCTCTTCTTCCCGTTCCGGGAAAGCCGGGAAAAGAGGGAAACGGATGGGCGCGCCACTGCGAGGCAAGCCTGCCGTACTTAGTGCGCGCAGAAGTCATTACCGGCCGGGCATCCCTCTGCCCTCTCGCTCCCCCTCCAGTGTGTGGCGTCCATCATGTCGCGCCCCCTTTACCTTCGGCGAGCACACTGTCGCTCTCTCTCGCACTCGTGGGGCGTCCCGTACAGGTGCGAGAGGGACAGAGCGACGCAAACGACTCAGGTAGGTTCCCCGGCAGGCCCTTCGGGACGGCGGCACGGCGGCACGGTGCTCCGCGTAGAGTTACGGCGTCCAAATTAAGCCGCGAAGGGCAAGCCGCGCGAGCTGCGCCGGCAAGCTCTTCTTCGGGGCGCCGGGCAGGCGCTCTAACTAACTGCCGCACACCACCCCCACGGGGCGGGGCGGGGCGGGGCGGGGTGGCCCGCGCGAGGTAACGAGGGTAAAATGAGCCGCCAGGACACTACACTGGTAGCAAAGTGGCGCTCGTCACCTCGTTTAAAACGATCCCTAACCATCTCTATCATGACCCAACAAGAATAACCAATCGTGAAAACGAAAACTCGAAATGGACCCTTCTAGGGCGTCGAACGCAGGTCAAGGAATACGAGTTCGCGCTACGCTTCCAGGCGAACGCAGGTACGGCCGGAACGACCCAGTAACGCTCTTCTTGGAGCGACACTGTGAGAAAAAAGAACAGAAAAAGTACGGAACATGTCTAGTCAATAACTTGCCTGGACCGTCCGTACTTGCCAACTACAGAACTTTCCGTACTTTTTCCGTACCGGTTTGCACGTGTTCATATGGAGCAAGTACGGACGTTCCGTACTTTTCTCCGTACCTCCGTACTATATTTTCCTGTACCATTTCAGTACAAAAGTACGGAATTTTTTACAGTGGTGGCGGGGGCCACGGCGTCCCTTGGTATTACTTTGCACTCGGCATTTTCGCGAGGCAGCTACCGCTCTCGCCTCCCCGGAGGGCAAAGAGGAAAAGCCGGGACAAATGAGGCGAGGTGCACAGTGTGCGCGACGTCGCGCTGCAACGCGGCGGGGCACGGCGGGGCGTCCCCAGCGGCTTGCTTGGCTTGGCAGAGGAGCGGCGCGGTGCTCGGGCAGGTGGCGCGGCCTCGCTCCCCTGCCGCCCCCGGCACCCCCTGAGCGCCCTGAGCAACGACGCCATCATGCCGCGGCGCCGTGCATACTGCATGACGGAGAGCGGCGCGACATGCGAGCGGCCCGGCCCGGCCCGGCCCGGCAAGGGCGGCACACTGAGAGCCGTTCCCGCCGCTGTCTCTCTCGCACCCGCACGGGACGCCCATACGCGCGACAGAGACAGAGCGACGGCAACGACTCTCAGTGTGCTGGCTGGTTAACAGCGCGCCGGAACCGCCTCGGCCAGGGTGGCGATCGGAACTCCGCCCCGCGTCCCTCCAAGGCCTCGCGGCGGACGGGGTCAACTTCAACTTTGAGCCGCAGTGCGAGAACTGCCAAGAGTGTCGGCGCGGCGTAGCAAAGTGGAGCAAGGCGCCCGACCCGGCCCGACCCTGCTGGAGTATTTCCAGCGAGCATCACTTTAAGTATTCACGCCCCTCGGCGCGCTGCCCCCCCCCCCCCCACCCCTTTTCGCTCGCATCATGGCAACGGCCCGAGGAATGCTCGCCGGGAACACACGCACCGCCGGCAAGGAACGGAGACGCAGCCCGCTACACTGCCAGTGCACCCACACTGTCAAGCCAGAACGGGAGAACGCCACACTTCCTGCTGCGGAGTTATTCTCCACACTTCAAATGCGGAGCAGCCCACAGAGCCCCCATCTTTCGACTAACGCGGAGAACACCACACTGTGAGTGTGGAGACTGCATACTCTGCACTTCCAAGTGTGGAGACTGAAAATTCCATACCTCCGCATTTTGAGCGTGGAGTTGTCCACAACTGGTGTCCCAGTGTGGCGGCCGCGTGCACCGCCTGCTTCGCAGAGCGGCGGGGAGGGGAGGGCCGCTGGTAATAGATGGCGGTCAAGCAGAGCGCTTGGGCCGCTTTGCCCGGCTTTGCCGTCCGGACATGAATGCTGCAGGGCCCTACAGTGGGGAGGCATGCTGGGTAATGCTGGGTAATGCTGGCACGCGGCCAGTCGGTGCACTACACCGTGACACACCTCGAGGCCTCGCGGGGCAGGCGGGTCGATGCAGAGTGATTCCGAAAGTGGCGTCCGCTCGCGCAGCTCGCGCCGTCTCATGGGCCGTCCCGTGCCGCGGGCCCCGTCGGGGGTGGGGCCCGTGCGGGGTGGGGGCGAGCGAGAAAGAGGAAAGAAAGGGCGAGGAAGAGCCAGACACGTGGCTTGCTGCGAGTATCGGGTCACGGGATGCTCGCATCGGCAGTCAATAAAGAATCGGTAATTGAAAGGAGCGGGCGGCGGAAAGGAGACACCGCGCCCCAATTCACAAACAAAAGACTCGACTCGGTGGACGACAACAACAGCGCCCGTTGCATAAGTCAGGTCAACACGTCGATACGCCGTGCGTCACCACGTTCCCATTTTCTTACTCTCAGCGGCAACGCCACTGTCAAACCAAGTGTGGAGACCTCCACAGTCCCTGGTGTGGAGAAATTCCCCACACTTGAACGTGTGGAGTTTGCAGTCACACTTCAAAAGTGGAGTAGCTCACAGAGCCCTTATCTCTTGGCATGGTGCAGAACTCCACTCTAGGAGTGAGGACTCTCCAAACTCTGCACTTGCAAGTACGGAGACTGCAAAGTCCTCACCTCCGCGGCGGGGCCTCGGCCTTGACGGCCTCCCCGTCGGCGGTCTCGGGGTGCACCGCGCCGCCGGGGCCAAGCCGGAGCCGCATCTCAGCCTCGCCCAGTCTTGGCCGGGAACTCCAAATTCCAATCCGGGCGAGGCTAATTGTCACTCAGCACCACCAAGGCCGGGGGGCGCCGAGGGACGCCGACGTGGACTCTCCTCGGCCCGGCACGTCTCGGCGCCCGGCGCACAGTGGGTCAGAAGACCGGTGGAGGCGGCCGTCAGGCCAACACTCTAGACGCGTTTGCGGCTCAGAGCCGCTGAACAGGACTCGAACCGAACGTGTGACCCCACCATTGGATTGCTCTCCGAACGAGGAGCCCATTGGTGGGGCCACACACGTTCGGTTCGAGTTCTGCATAGCGACTCTGGAGCTCAAAAGGCGAGTAGAGTTTCGCCGCCTCCACCGGTCTCCTGGCCCACTGTGCACCCGACGGGTCGACGGGCCGACAGGCCGACGGGGCATCGCGTAGGAATCTCGTTCCGGTAACGAAGGATGCTCACGCTGATTTGAATAACGAGAAAACGTGCCCCGGGACGCGCGCCGTGGAGGTAGGCGGCCCATCGGGCACGCGGCGCGCCACGCCTTGCCTCCCTCCCTCTCGGCCACACCTTCCTCTCCTTTGCCTCTGTCACGTTGTCTTGGGGGAAACGCGAGCCGTGCCGCGCCGTGGCGTGCCGCGCCGTGGCGTACGAATGGCCTCCCCCGAGGGCGAGGGCGGCGTGGCGGCGTCGCGGCGTGGCGGCGTCGTCCTCGCTCCCCGGCGCATGCTTCATCCCCACGCGGCACCTCCATCGCTCTGTCTCTCTCGCACTCATGGCGCGTTGCTTACAGGTGCGAGAGAGACCGAAAACGACTCTCGGTCCGCTCGTTTCCGTGGCGCAGGACGAAGGACCCGCCAGGAACTCGCTCCGTGTCAATAACAAGGATTGCCGAGGGCGTAAACAACAACAGACACGTGTACACACCGAGGTAAATGAAAAAGCGTGCCACACTGTAAAACTAAGTGTGGAGCACTCCGCACTTAAAATTCCGGACGCGTTTTGAGCTCCAGGTCGCTAAATCGGACTCGAACCCAACGTGTGACCCCACGAATGGATTGCTCTCCGAACGAGGAGCCCATTGGTGGGGCCACACGCTCGGCTCGAGCCCTGTTTAGCGACTCTGGAGCTCAAAACGCGCCTTTGGCCGCCTCCACCGGTCTTCTGGCCCAACAGTGCGGCGCCGCGGGCCGAACCCGCCGGCACCCAGAAAACACATTGTCCGAAGAACAAGCAACAGGCAGAGACGCGTCGATTGGCGGCCGGCAACGGCATCGCCGGCCATGGCCGGGCATCGCGAACCAGGGAGCCGTCGGGAATGGAACGGCCCCTGGACGGCCGGGCAAGGCCTGGCAGGGCCGGCCCCGCGCAACCCTTTCGCCGAATCGTTAAAACCAATGTGCCGCTTGTTCGGGGCGGGGGGGGCGGGGCGGGGCGGGGCGGGGCGGGGCGGGGCGGGGCGGGGCGGGGCGGGCGGGGGCGGGGGGCGCTGCGGCGGCCGAGCCAACGGGGTCGTTTTGGAGTTGTAAAGGGCGGAAAGAACGCGAGAAGGAGCCACGCCCCGAGCGCGGCGCCGCGCAGACCTCGCAGATTGGGGGCGGCAGGGGCGGCAGGGGGGCTCGGAGATTCTAACACAATTACGACGGAACAAGTGAGAAATAAGATGGGAGGGGCGGGGCCGGCGGGGCCGAGGCGGGGCGGCACAACCGGGACGGAGTGGAGGTGAGCCGTGCGGAATGGCCAATGAATTGCAGTTAACGGGCGGGGGGAGGGGGGAGGGGGCAGGCCGCCACC